ATAAACATGGGGAAAGAAGGAGCTAGATGAAAAGCAGCTAGGACCCTTGTTGCTGCAGAGCTGTGGATCTTCCCAGGCGTAAGCTGTAATTGGCTCCTCTCTTTCTGGGCTACCCAGTGTTTTAGCTGGAGTCTCAGTGTCTCCCCGAAGGGAGGCAGAGCAGCCCATAGCACCACGTGCTGAAGCAGCGCCGGCTGCTTTTAGGTCACATCAAGAGCAAATCAGAGGGAACAGGAAGCCTTGGTGGGAGAGCTCTGCTCCCTCTCCTGCCTCGACTCCAGACATCAGCCTGCTTGTGATCTGGCTTCAAGAGGCTTGAATCTATTTGAACCCCACTGTTGTCTGTAATTCTAACATGTCCCCCACTTCAAAACTGTGTCACCGGCACAGGGCTGTCACAGCTGAGGTTCTAAACCAGAATCTGCATCCAGATGTGCAATAGTCTTAAACATCTTGGCAGGTTAACTTGCAAGAAAATCTCTTGCTAGGCAGTAGTCACTACTAGCAATTACCAAGCTTTTATCTGTAGCTGTCAATGCGCTGTGAATAGTGGCTGTTATTCCCATTTTATAGCAGAAACAGCTGTTCTAGGGGTGTCTGAACACATTTAATACAGAAATTGCATGCCTAAAAGGTGTTCTAGAAAATCCCATCATCATCACATGACTGATTTTATTCAGTGCACCCAGGAATTCAGCGGATCTGCTGCTTGTGCTGCGCTTCTCCTCTTGTTTTAAAGCAGTAGTTTTTGGACTGAAGTTTTCGTTTTACCCGTTCTGGGGCAGAGGAGAAGCTGAGATGCTCTCTCCTGATGTTCGTGTTGAGGCACACTCTGAGGTGGGGATTCCTTTGAAACTTCATGAGGTTTAACTTGGTTTTGTGATCAAGTCACATTTGTGAAATCCAATTAGGCTCCAGCCCTGGCAGGGACACGTGACATAAGGCACGTACATCCATCTGACTCCCTGCCCTTCCCTGCTCTTAAAGCCTTCAGTCTCCACGCCAGAGCCGTGCTTCTTATCTCAGGTATTTGGGATTACTGCAGGCTCGGTTCACCTGCAGGATTTCCCTTGCAAACATGGCAGACGGCAGGGAAAAGGCAGCTGAGTCTCGCCTCTCTCTAGGGAAGTGATAAGAACCAGGTAGGGCAAGAGGAGACTCTACATGGTTACTGGAGTACCAGAGTCTATATTACAGGCTACTTCGGCATCTAAAATCTGAATGGGTTAAGCACATATGTAGAGAGTTTAGGCTCAAGTGCTTCGACTACATTCCCAAAGATGGGAAATGAATGAGATTAATTGCATTTACACATTTCCCCTAATAACAAAATGATTCCTTTTGGTTGCATCTTGCAAATAGCCACATAACAAGACAGTCACAGTTCAGCACTGTTGGCATCTTATTTCCTGTTCCTCTGCATCTTCATTACTTACAACACTTTTGTATTTAATTTGAGGGAATAATGCGATCTGAGCATGACAGGCAACTTTCTTAATGGGCTTCTGTGCTCCTGCCATAACATCAATTATGTACAGTTGTCTTTGACTTGGAACGTGTAACCCCCATGGTGACTAATTACAGTATCTAACATTAGGATCCCAAGTGGCAGAGACTGGAGATTAAAAAACACAGTTCAGGCTGCTGCTTGGGGGCTGACAGCTTCACCATCCCTGGAGAGCTCTGTGCTGTTGTGTTTCTCAGGCCATTGGGGTTGGAAAGGAACAGTGATGAATTACCAGCCTTTGGAGTAAAAATGAGAAGATTAGAAGGAAGCCCAAAGCTCTGCCTTTCCTAAGATCCTTTCACTTCCCAAATCACTGTAATTGTTATATTTTTATTTTAGACCACAAACATATTTTAGTTTATTTTCCCATTTTAGTGCTATGTTTGAATGAGTTCTTTTCATGGAAAAGAGAAAGGATTGTTCTTGACAATAGTAATAATTGGGACATAGCAAAATATTGACTGCTTAATAGCATCATATAGTTGCAGTTCAGTATCTCTATATGTTCCTCAATATCCTTCATAACTTGAAGAACATAGCTTACCTATGCTTTAGAAAAGATGTTGAATTCTATGAGTCTTGAGCACCACTGTAACTACTAAATGAACATCATCCTTCCTGTTATGCTGAGACTAGCTGATGTATATGCTCTAATGCAAGAAAATATCCTTAGACAGTAGTTAACTCTACACATATTTAAGCTCAGCTAATGCTTGAAATTGTGAATGGAGATCTGTGTCATATACATCAGATCAAACGTGGCCTTATGGCCTCAGGGACAGAATCTGCAGGGGACAGTCCAACCACCCGTAAGTGGGAGCAGGAGGGATAAAGGGTCTTTTTCATTGACTCTTTTTAAATGAACAGCTTTCACTAGTTTGGGTTTGACTTTGACACTGTACCACGGGGGCAGAATCAGCAGTGGGTATGAAATTCCAACTTCCCATCCTTATATTTGGAGACATGAGGCTCAGTTTGTAAGAGATTTTATCTGTTTATCTAGGCGCATTCCATTTCTTTATCACTTAATGGATGGTACAAAACTCACTGCAGCTTTGTGGGAAGAGAATTCCATACCATTATCTTGCAATAAAATAACTTATCTTAAAAGGCTGTTATGAAACATCAACCTATTAAATCCATGGCAACTTCAGCCATTGTTTGGGGGAAAAAATCCAGAATGAGCAGTAAATAATCAAGCCATCAAAAATATGAACAGAATCTGGCGGGTACAACCTGTGGGATGGCTGGTACTTTTAGTTTTACATGAAAACAATCCCCAGGGAAAGGCAAAGCTGGTTACAGAGGACAAAGGTTAGGCTTTGTTCCTTACTGTTTGATTTTTGGTATGCTATCATTGCAAGCAGCAAGGGGAAAGATTTGCTAAGGTATTTAGGTACCTAAACATGCCTAGCAGCATTTATAGCAGCATCTAAGTAGGTTAGGTGCCTAATTCCCATTAACTCCATCAGCATGTTTAAGCTGCTAAACATCTTTGCAAAGCTGGTACAGGTGACTGTGCGAGCTGCTGGGCTGCACTTGTTTGCCACAGATGAAGCTCAAGCTGATGCTCCTTGGATCAAGGGTTACGGATGGTACCTGAGCACAGAAGCGAACAGCAGCTCCTGGGCCTTTCCCACTAGGCACAGCCTGGCCTGTTCCACACCCACAAACGTTTGTCTTAAAGGATTTTCCCTGCCTTAGCTCAGTGTCGATAAACGCCCTCCTGCGTGTCAGAAACAGACTTAAAGAGATGAACCAACCCTTCTGTTTCAGGTTCATAAAGCAGCCAGTCACGAGAAGTGTTTAAATAGATGGTAAAGGTTACGTGGGATAGATCAACCCCAGTGAAACACTTCCCTTGATTGAGCCTGTCTCTGGCTTTTGAGGTTTATCTTCCACGGCCAAACACACATGGAACTGTGCTCTCCGGCAGTGGGTGCTCGAGGTGATTCCAGTGCCACTTCCTCTGAGGAGCAGAGGAGGCCACCCAACAGGGAAGAGTGCACAAAGCAAATATTTTCTCAACTAAACCAGCTAAAATGATGAGTTACGGGAATTGCCCCTATTTTATTGTATTTCTCATTTTAGTGTGATTTCTTAATCCTTACAGTAGAGGCTAAAGCTTCCAACTTATTCCTAGCTAGAATGCCATTAGCTTTTGTTCTATGAACTACCATAGGGAGTGTAAATAAAGTAGGTGAGGCCCCACAGAGACCTGCACAGGAACTGTAACAAGGCAGGTTTGATTTTTATCTTCCTTTAGAAGTTGGATTTTGGTAATTCTGACAGATTTTGTAAGAGCAGGAAAAGTGGGATTTGTTCTCTCTCTCCCTGGCCAACCGTTGGGAGTTCTGTCCCATGGCATGCCTACAACAGCTCTACAAAGTAAGCACAATGGAAAGAAGTGATTTGTACTGTAATTACATCAGAATAAAGTACCTTCTACCACCAAAATCTGTACACAAGAGACTTCTACCACCAATGCTTTTGAGAACAAAGAGGAACTGCAGTCTGCATCAGTTACAGTTTTAAAGGGGATGGTATTAAACAGGGATTTCAAGGCAAAGGCTGAGGGGGATCATCCTTTGAGAGTAACACTAGTTGAGAATGACAGTGAAATTCTCTGTACAGAGCCTGGCACTGTCACAAACCCATGTGAGCCCCCAAGGCATCAGGGCAGGTTTAGTGCTCTAAGGTTGCATCCAAGGTGGTCCTTGTTATGCACTAAATGTGCAAATAGCAACTGTTGGTGTGTCATCCCTCCACCCTGACTGATCATAAAAATCTACAGTGATTTTTGTCTTTATGTAGCTTAGAGTAGTGTCTTTTCTGTAGACTTCACTGTAGAAAAGCACAGTGCAGGCACTGCAGGGCACTGTGGCTGTGCACTGGCCAGCACATACGCGCCTGGCTACTCTGTGAGTATTTAAGCAATGGTTATGGAATGGCCACTCGTGTATGTGTGCTTGTATTTATCTGATACATATTGATTTATCTGATACATTCTTTCCTGTTAGGGTGGTGAGGCACGGGAATGGGTTCCCCAGGGAGGCTGTGAATGCTCCATCCCTGGCAGTGTTCAAGGCCAGGTTGCACAGAGCCTTGGGTGATGTGGTTTAGTGTGAGGTGTCCCTGCCCATGGCAGGGGGTTGGAACTTGATGATCTTAAGGTCCTTTCCAACCCTAACTATTCTATGATTCTATGATGGTGTTGACAAAAGGATCATCTAATTTACTGAGGCACTGAGTAGCGTTACAAGGAAGTTATTTAGCACCTGTGAAGCCGTGTATCTAATACGCCTGTGTAGGTATTATTTGTGTGAAGCTATTTGCCTGATGGGAGAATGTGCCATTTAAAATTTACTGGCTCTTTGCAGTATTCAAAGGGCAGTGGGGTGCAAGTATTCAGGTAAAGATTAACACCAGCGTGTAGCCCAACAGTATTTATCACAATGTCACCTTTAAATAGAAAATAAATAGAGGTACAAGAACAATTTATGGCCCTGGGGCCATTATTAGCTGTAGTCTCATTATTTTAAAGGATATAACGTGCACTTTCATTTCTTTTCCACTTATTTTTTTAATAAAAACAGAGAGTCATTGTTTATAGGTTGTATATTTTGACAACTGCTCTTTGCAAATCCTAAGTTATCCTAGAACCATTGTCTCAGTATACACAGTTCATCTGAATCAAAATTAATTCCACAAACTGTTTCACAGAAAGGAAGAGACAAGGGGAGCTAAGAGAGAAATAACCTAGGAAACAAGTATGCCAGCGTACAAAAATAGACTGGAACATTTGGAGATTGTAGGTATGAAAATGTAGTCTCAATAACGGAGAATCTGAATTAGTGGATTATCTGAAGAGGTAATTGCGCACTGGAGGAGAAGCCGGAGAGAAGCCGAGATCTGTTTCTAACGTCTTTAATTTCTAGGCAAATTTATGAGGCAGAGGGAGGAATCGTCTCCAGGTTTCTCTCTGTGGGTGGAGGCAGCAAGCAGAGCAGGCAGCGCGCCAGCGCCGTGTCTCGGTTTCTCCCCCTCTCGTGCACAGCAGGCTGAGCACTGCGCGCTCCGAGCCAGAGATCGTCACCAGCTCCCTGCGAAGGGCAAGGCAATGGGCACAGCTGTCCTCCTCCAGCTCACCCTGCACAAGGAGTGCTTTAAATATCTCTCTGAAAGTCTCCGCTCATGCAGCCTGCCTGATCCATAACCTCTGTCTCCAAATAGCTCCTGCTGTTTGAAGCACCCAGCTGGCTGTCACAAAGCCACTAGTGGATAAGTCAAGGCTGTGAGGGTCAAGTGGAGATTAAAGCCTTTCAAACAGAACTGTAAAACTGGAATCTATATGCAGTCTGGGTATCACGGACATATGAACTCAGAGTGCCTGTCATAAAGCATCCAAACTACTACAGCTACAGCAAATATCACAAGGAGTTCCAAACCTTAAATATCCTCTATGGGTGATGAGTCCGTGCCATTTTCAGAAGAGGGCTTTAAATAAAAATGCTTCCAGAGTGTCCAACCCTGAAACTGGAGCACGTGCTCTGTCCCTTCAGACTGTGTTCTGTGAAGCACGTAGGAGCCACTGGAGCAAAATATGGCTAAAGCATTTATGTGTTATTGCTATGAGGAGTTTTCTTAGAAATACAGGTTACTCTAGGTCTGCTGAGCAAGCTCTTCTTCCTAATCCACACCACCTGTGTAGATTCATGGATAATTTGGTTCTGACCTAGTTAAAAGTACAAAACAGATTTTTTCTGGTTGCTTATTCCATGTATCCTGACATCCAGTTCCAGCAAAGCCTGCAAAAAACTCTTTCATGAGCTGCACTTTGTTCCTCTGGGAAGAACATTTGGGGATGTGCTCTACAGCTCCCAGGCCAGATCACTGCACTGCCATTCAAAGAAGAGACTTGACTTGGATTTAAAAAAAGAAGGTTTATTCGTTTTGATTCAAAAGGATCAACAGCTACAGTGTGCCTGACTTGGCACAGCTCGGTAATGGTAAGGACAGAGAGCAGGACATAGGCACCAGAACTGCAAATAAGTCAGGGCTTTCTATCCATTCCTCAGAGAAAAAGGACTTAAATCCAGTGCTACACCTGCTGAAGACAGACCTCAAAAACTGTGATTGCACAGCCCCATCCCTTTGTATCGGCCAGCAGAGGTGACCTGGAGTGCAGGAGCGAGCCTGAACCTTTCCAGTGGGGTTCTCAAGTCCTTAAGAGTGGCAGATTGCAGCCTGTCCTCCCTCACACAGATACAATCGCATTACCCATCTCAGGCTGAAGATCAGAGATAGAGTTCTCCTTTGATGTACTCATCAGTATGATGAGAAACTTCTGCAAAGTTTCAGATCTGTCTTTCGTTCGTTAATCAACACCTACCATATGTATTATATACATACACACATATGTAAAGAGCCTCCAGAGAAACACAGCATAAACTCATATATTTCAGAGAGCTGACATCATACATTGTGCTGTGAATAATGAGATTTAAAATACCCTGTGCTATCAAGGTACAGTGAAACCTGCTCATTAGCTTGCACCAGCACCTCCTGGCATATTCTTTATCCTCTTTAACACATCACCAATGAGTACAAAATGATTTTGTTCTACTTAAAGACCAACTTTGAGGAGGTGACTGATTTCTGCTGATCCTGGAGGTGGTTTCACAGGTTTCATTGTACTTGAAACTTCACAGCTTCCACTGAAGTATTTGATGCATGTATGTACCGGTTTAGCAGAGTACAAAAGTAGAATAATTCTCATTCTTGCCTCACATTGTTGACAGAGTATGATGTCCTTTACCAAACTGTTTCTTTTTCTTGACAACTTATCAAAGACTCATTTTTCTAAAGCCCAACCACCGATCTTCAAAAGTATTTGTCTTAAAAGTCATCAGGGCTCCAATACTTGTAATAAATTGATGAATTTCTGTTAGCAAAGCTTATTCACAAGTGTCTTCCATAAAAATAAAGATTTTCAGTAGTTAAAGAAAAGGTACATTACATTCACTAGCACTGGTTAACAAAACCCCACCACACGTCACCTTGCAGCTTTCAGTCAACCATGCTGGAATCCAGCACGTGAAATTACAACCAGTGGTCCCATCTTAACTCTCCTGCTGGTCAAAGCTGTGAAAATTACACTGCAGGTCAGGGGAGTTAAGCCAACAGAGATGTCTTGAAAAGCCTGGATTGGGCTGCAAGATAAGACTGGTCCCTAGACACTGAATAGTAACAGATTAAGGACTGAAGGGAGACTTCTGCAGTGCCTGCATCTTCTGTAGCACCCATCAATAAACCCAGCTAAAAAATGGCAGAACTTCCTCTGACTTAAAAGGGAGAAACATCATCAAGTACTATTAACATTAGGCTAGAAAGTATGCAGAAAGTGTGCATCTTCTCACTAGTGTACTGAAACTACACGAACTACAACAATGTCAACAGATGTCCTCAGCTCTTGGACCTGGGAAGCTCTCTTATTCCTTCATCGTCATCCTCAGAGCAAAGCAAGCTTAGGGCGCTTGTTACGGGATGGATCCATGATGTTGTCTGTGTCACGTGGCTAAAAAGAAACAAGAAATGCTATTAGCAACCCAAAAGAGGTTTACCAATTTCAAAGCAAGAAATACAAGATGGAGCCTGGAGTTGTCATGGTGATTACAACACTTTCAAATACAGAATCCTCTTTTTCTTGTTAACTATGAGATTTCTACAAACAAGACATGGAGCCTTCTGGGTGCTAGAAATTGGACCAAAGTAGCATTAGAGACAATGCTTTTGTAAGAGACTCCCGATACAGCCTGGTGATACTTCCTGATAATGGAGCTGTAGACAAATAACCCAGCAACACTGTACAGCCCAGAGTAGCAAAGACTTAAAAAACGCCAGGTATTGACACAGGTATTAACATTAACGTGCCATCATACCTGACAAAGCCTGAGGCACAGCGGTCAAGAGGAAGTTGACCAAATGTGGAATCACATCATAGAAATATACTCAATTTGTTAGAACATGAACTAATACTGTAGCATCATTAAGTCCTTCCTCTTCTTGCAGAAACAGGCTGATGAATAAATGAACAATATTCTTCACATGTCCTCTAGACCAGACTCTGGACGTGCTTCCACAGTCTTTACACGTGTAAGAAAAGGGAGTCAGTGGTACTTCTGAAGACTTAAAGCCTACATTTGACATGCAGTTTAAGCTGCTTTATAGTTTTTGGTAAACTTCTGTATGAATGGCAAGAAGCTGACCAAGGCTCAGTAAGGACAGATAAATGGAATATGCTTACTGTTTGTGGGTGAGAACATTGCACACCTTATGGTTGGTAGTATGCACACTAGCCATACTGTGTGTGGGCAAGACACAGCCTCTTCTCCCTTCTGGAATAATGTGTTCTTGATAAAGGAAATAGCTTCTTTTCACTTAAAAAAAAATCTTGCTAATAAATTCACAGTTTTCATAGTCAAGTCAGTGCAAAGATGAATTTTGTAATATAAGTTCATTACAAGAACTAGCAGAAAAATATTGTACATCTAATATACACCATAAAAGGCAAAGAGCTCTTCTCACAACTTCTGACATAGAGCGCACCTAAAGCCCATGCCTATACTCACCTTTGAGGTGCACTGGTTTAATTAAACATGAAGTGCCATGATGGAACTACTCTAGATTTACCTTTTTAAGTGAAAACAGATTTTGTCTTTGTCTTCAGGAATGCTCACTTGAGTATCCGACTATGGAAATGGATATGGTGAAAGCAGGAAACTGAGTCAATGTTATGGGTATGGGAATCGCTATTCCACTCAACATGATCATGGTATGATCTGACCTTGTATTCACACCTTTCATTTTGGTATACTGAGCTTAAGCTGGATATAATGAGGACAACAATACTGTTCACAAGAGGTAGGTATGATGCTAACATAAATCACATCGCCAGCTGATGAACAGACCTACCTTTGAACTGGTAATTTTTTAGTTAAGCCACTACATCAACTTAAGCAACGCCTAAGCAAGGACCAATCAAGGTAAACAAAATGTGGCAGATAAAGGCCATATCCTCACTTCTTATCCTTAAATAAAACCAAACACAAAAGCTCCAGTTTTGTGTAGAAACAATTCATAAGTGCTTTTTTTTTGGTCAGAGAAGCACTGGATGGACTCCATTCCTTTATACTACAAAAATGTGCACCACCTCATCAGAGCTGTAGACACAGAAGTAAGAACAGCCTGTAGCTATAGAAAGTACAACGCAGCGGATACTGACCATTCTCAAGTACAGTAATCACTTCATTCTAACAAAGTGAAGGTACCATATTTTGCTAGCAATGAGAGCAACTTTCCCAGCCTCCAATGCTTACCTTTAGAAAGCCAGACAACAGCCAACAATGAAGGATACGAAGAGTCCTTTTACAGTGTTTTATGAGATTTGTGAATAACATCAGTCTAATCAAGAACATGAGTCCCACTATCCCACAAGACAGGGAAACATTCATATTTATATTACATATAGTATGAATACATTTGTATTTGTAAATATACAAAGGAAAATATCTTTGCTGTACTTTTCTGCAATGTTTTCTGTAATACCAGGAAATGCCATATATTTTAAATTAAACAATGTAATCAGTATGGCTTAATACAGAAGATAGCACTCTAAATTAAAGTCCCAGCATGTGATTTCATTTATCGGCATAACAACACAGAACTCCCTCCAATACCTGTGGAATCATGGGAGCTGAATAAACTGGATTCCATCCATTCCAGCTCTGCCAATGCAAGATTTATTGCCTGCAGTACTATTTTAAGTGTTTATATTGCTTGCCTTTATCGAGCCATTTCTCAGCAATCCATTGCTGAATTTAAATAAGAACAAAATGATTTGTAAAGTCTATTTTTTCCCATTTGGCTTCCCCACGTAGCATGACCTGCTGTGTACTTACAGCCTTAGCTCTCTTTGCTTATGAGCATGTATCAATCCTGTGAAATGGGAGAAGCTGCACAGGAGAAGGGTTATGTGGAAAAGCATCCACAGGTCTTTAAATGTAACCGACTAAAAATTCTTTGTTAAGTGTTTATTCTTCACAAGATTTTCCTCCTACATACTTGAGGCCCAGGAGGCACACGAGAGCATGCCTAACTTCCTGTTAACTGCTCTAAGAACTTGATTTTGGTCTCATACAAATTCAGTGCAAAAATCATCCAGCTCTTCAACAGTGCAGATTTGTGGCACTGAAATCAGGGTTACTATTGTCTACATTCAATAGCGTAACACTGGTTAATTACTGTTAAAAAGAATTATTTTCATCCATTTTCAAAATACGAGGCCAAATTTTGCTCTAATGTCAATCTGCTCTGAATGCTTCTGATGTGAGCTCAGTTCTTTTAAACTTGCTCTAGACTTTATCCCATGAACGCTGCTTCTAGGACAGTTTGTTTAAAACCCACTGCCAAAATCCTCACTGGGAAAAGTACTCTTATAAATAAACTTGAAGTCCAGATACTGTGTCTCACATTGTAGACAGACACACACAATATGCACAGATTATTTAGGTACAGAATAAATGTATAACCTCTCCCCCACCCCCCAATTTATTTTTAGCTCTCCAAAAGTGCTGTGGCTAAAGAGCTTTGACATAATCAGTCCGAGGAGATAATCCCAGATTTAATGGTTTGCAGAGCATTCTTGTATTAGAAATACATCCTCTCCGATTCACATCTGAGGGCCAGCAATAAAAAGTGAACTCAAATCTATCTCTAGGTTTTGGTAAATCGATAAAACTGAATATTGAAGGAATATTTGGACAGCCAGCACTACAAATCCTAGATGTAAAATGTTTTCCATTTGCAAAGGTTCCTGTTCAAAAGATTAATTTCACATTTTCAGGGCAATTAACAATAATTAAAGATTTTTAGGTTTTCAAACAAGTCATTGCTATCGGAGGGCAGCCAAATTTATTGTCAGAAAACAGAAGCATTTGATCTGGAAATATGTCAGTAGCTTATTCCATCTTTTTAACATTAGCAAATTGCAGGAGAAATTTTAGAGCTTGGAAAAACAAAACATCAGAACACAAGTTTTTTTTTGGCAAAGAAATGCTAGTGAATTACTTAAAATATCATTATAATTAACCTCCTTCTGATTCTTACTTCTTTGCAAGGAAAATGCTTTCTTTTAAAATGAGAACCTCGATCTTTTAAGAAAAGATCAATTCAAAGCAAAACTAATGGAAAAAACGCCTGTACCTTTGTTAGCTTTGAGCATCATCAAAACGTGCTTTTTACTAGGGCCAAACTCTGGAGCCTAACAGGGATTCACATCTTGCAGACAATACAATTGCTGTAGGTCACTGCACAGGATGCCGAGCTACAAAGCAATCATGCAATATCTGAAGTTGGGTTTTTCCCCCCTTTGACATGGGCTGACATTCATAACACCCGGATGAATTTTTCCAGTTCACCAGGGTTACTTTGCGTTAAAAGGAGCAATCTTGTGCAAGACCCATTTGCTTGACACCTGTTCAGGAGACAAAATGCAGACTTAAACAATTAATCAGTCAAACTCTCATACTATGAAGGGGCCGGTACTCATTAGAGACCAGGCAGGATTTAGTTGCATCTGAACCTAGAAAGCCCAATTCTGGCCTCGTATGAACCCTTTGCTTCTCTACCAACTTGAGCGGTATTGATGATGAAAGTGAAAGCAGGACTCTGCTCATATGAAATAACACAAACTCCAAGGTAGCTGTTTTCCTCCCTAAATGAACATACCCCATAACCTAAATGCACAGTAGTAATTTTGCTATACTTTTCATCTTTCTTACCTTACTTTCATATTTCCCAAACTTCATTATCCTTTAGAATGCAGTAATGCTCAGCTAGAGTATTGATGCTTGATGGAGGCTTTACTCATCTATGCTCATCTGAAAACCCTTGCAAAGCCATTGTCACAGTGCCATACTGCTGACAGCTCTGAAAGCTTTACCCTTAGAGCTTTCACTGTTGTTACTGAAATAATCATTAAATAAATGTAGCAAATAACACTGCTAGATGCAGATGTAATGGGTTGGAAGGGGACGTGCTCTATACTATCCAGAAATGTACTCCATATTTTTAGTTTTTATACACTTATCCCAGTGGGAAATTCTGAAGTTACTGTGACAGGAGTATATCCCATCTGCTAGAGGATAGCAATACGGGAGATTATGTGTTCCTTTGTTACACACTCATATGCAGGCCCCCATAAAGTGGTGGTTTGGAGGCTAATGAGAGCCAGAGCAACAGGAAAACAAAGAACAATGCCACTGAATGAAGATCCTGAAACCTAATCCTTCATCTAGAGGTTATATCATCTTCCTTGCTTGCTCTTGCACAGAATCTCCCTGTGTAGCTGCTTGCTGGACTACACACAGCTTTGCAAGATTTGTTTTAATTACTGCCTTTGTCTTTGGTTGCTGGGGCTTTCTGTTTCTGTTCCCTTTGAGCCTGGAACAGCCTTTTGCTTTGCAAAGATCCTTTTCTTCTCTTTAAAACTCACTGTCCCAAATTTTGCACCTTTGG